GTCTCTTCTCGTAGATAGCGAGACTGAGGCTACGACCTTTTGACAAGACATATATCAATGTTCAAGGTTTGTAATGAAAACATAAAACTTTTCTTGTCGCTATCATAGTGAAAAATGTAATACATCGAAAATGTACAGAAAATATAGTTCTTGTAATCCGTCAAATCGTGGGCAGCTATTTTGATCCACCTGGACATCCCAGTATCCTCGTTACCTCGGGCATGCGCATTCGCATTTTTCTGAGTTGGAACGCTTATGCGAGAGCGAGATTGTGACGGGATCTTGGTATCATGTCACCGTAGTTGCAAACCCCAAGTAATGTACCTCTGATAATAGCCATTTTTAAATGCAGTCATTCAATACTGTTGGATGAGATTGAAAATAAAATAAATTTACATTTGTTGTATCTAAAACAAATATTTTTTTCAGTCAGCATGGTTCATTTTTTTATGCTCAAATAGGTGATTTTCCGTTCAATTGTGCGATCTCGTGAGACGCCTGTAAAACACGCGTTGAACGTCTGCCACAAAATCAAACGATTTGATTTTGATTATTTCATAGTTCACATCAACCAGCCGATCTTCGACAGAGGAATATTGCTTTCGAATACCCTGACTTAATCGAAATTGGCTATCATCAAATATCTACAGCACATTATTAAGCATGGAAATGCTTCCAAAATATTTTTGCGTTTGTCGAATCCCACACGATGTTTGACGCCACTACAACCTTTGTTTGTCCTGTTTTTACGTTCGATTCCACGCATAACGCATGATTCTCGCAGTGAACGGAAAATGGTCTATTTTGTTTTGTTCTACCATTTTTTCTCAATTTTTTTATGACAATGCATTTCTTATTGATGAAGACACATTAGAATTTGAACATGAATACATGTATATAATCACAAGTTCTCCCAATCAACAAGTTGCTAAGTTAGTACTTTGATTAATAATGTTGATATTTATTAAGCTAAGCATATTTCTTTCTGAAACTTGTGGCCACCACTAAACAGCCATTTGTGATTTACAGTTTCGATTTATTAATATTTAATCCAAGTTTGCGTAGCTTAGTGTTATAGAGAGTGGTAAAGTTTGGTAACCTTTACAATATCTTACCACCTTTTTTGTTGTTAACCTTTTCACCACCAGTTCCCTCTTTTCATCACAAATTAAAAAAAAAATAGACCAGTTTATAGTCTGCACTTAACTTCAGAATATTGGGACAAAAATAGGCAAATATCTTGAGTAAAAACTGAAAATTGACTAAAATTGTGTCTGTTGGCTCCAAAATTTGGGTTCATTTGCAGAAATATTGAAGAATATAAGAAAAAAAGTGCATACAAATTTGGGCAAGAAAGTCTGGTAGTGAAAAGGTTAGGCTACGAAAATCATTATTACCGGTACAATTATTATTACAACAAGTTACAATCTGTATGATGTTATTTCTACTACCTTGAATTTTAGTCATTGACAATTAAACTTAATTGAAACACAATCCTATACAGAGTTACCATTTAATTGACATTAATTAAATTGTAATTCCTATATATGATTGCAATTAAATTTAAAACTGCAAATTGTGAATCAAAATTGTAAATCGCGGTTTGTCGGTGGCCGAAATTTGCTAGAACACCATTTTCCCTGATGTCCCGTTTTTTTTTTTTTTAAATCTTTCTGTTAATTAAACCATGTGCCATTTTAACAAAATAAAAATAAGAATTGTTAGTGATATTAGGAGTGATTTTAATAGTGCATGACAGTAAAACCTCTGTGACCACTCTGTGTCCACTAACACTCACACAGTCATACAGGTGTTTCATTGGTATACATGTAATCAACAGTTCTGTGTAAACAGGTTAGATCAAACTTAATAGGGTATAAACTGTTAAACTGTTACAATTAAGGTAAAGATGCAGGTTCAAGAGCATTTGGGAGTGAGATTTTTTTTTTTGCTTTTTATTATCCAAACAGTCTTGGCTATAGACTGTTAAAATTTTGTAAATTGTGAATAGTGGAACATACTCAAAAAACAATTTTAAAATATAGATAACAGACGCAAAATTATCTCTTTTGAATGCTTTGAAAGATTTAGCAAGGCTGTACATAAATAATAAAAAAGAAACATGGTGAAAAAAAGAAATGAGGGGGTCTCCATATTATGCACTATATTTAACTTTTTACAAAACGATAATACATTTAAATTT